TGTAAATACAATAAAAATCAAACCAAGAATTAGAATAATTATAATTTTGGTATGGTAATGTCTGACTGGGCCTCGTGTCACTTTATGTTCAATAAATTGAGCCCCGAGGTCAAAAAGGTTAAGAAGCCCTGCTCTAGATTAATGATGACCTGTAGCTCTACATACGAGTGCAATTCCATGTGTAAACACTAGAGGCGGTAATGAGTCAAATAGGAAGGTCCGGCATGAATCAATCTTACAGACGTTGTTTTCTCTTCTTGTCCTGCAGGAAAAGTCTTTCCACTAACAAACAATGGCTGTATTTTCTTACATGYTGTGTGTCTGAGAGTATTTGATCTATTTACAGTAAAATGCATGTAAAACCTGTAAGGATAATATGCATGAATGATTTTTTTAAATTGCCTTACAAGAGTTTGAACATGTGTGACTGATTRAATGTAYACATCTTACTAAAATCAGAGATTTGTGTACAAAGATGATAAAAAAAATACTTGGCCCCTCTATGAATATTGTGGCACCTTGATGGCCCCTTATTCAGAAAAATCCTRGATCTGCCACTGGTTGAAATGTGTAACGAAGCCAACAAACTCAGACTTAAGCAGTTCTTTCTGATCCAGATGAGTCCAGGAGGTCTGAGGTCCACTTCCACCTGTTAGACTTAAGACCTGTCTGAATGAGAACTGTCACAGTGTTGTGAACAGCTGAAGCTCTCCTTCTGGCATCTGGGTCATGTAGCTGAGTGTTCAAGTTTCCACTTCACCTGACAAGGATAATTTAACAAAGAACATGAAGGAGCTGAATGAAGCACACCCTGGGTCTGAAGGATCATCAGTCTGTAGTTCAGACCTAACTGGATCACACTGACACTGGTCAGTACACAAGTGACACCTAGAAGCAGCAGTTACATAAAAACATGGGATTATTATTTCTTTTTTGTTCGTTTGCGTCCTTAAACATTAAAAACACCAACGTTTCCAAAGATCTGGTGTAAAAAGGGCTGTAATCATGTCCCCGTTGAGCAGTCAGGTAGAACTCTTCTGTTTGGTCTCCTCAGGTTGACTTTGATGATGGAAACTGCCCGTCCTTCTACAACCAGATCAAAGGTCTTCATAACGTCCTGCAGGCAGTGAGCAGCCAGCTCCCTGGTGAGGTTCACATGTTTGGTTGGTTTGGAGCAGAACACCTGTTCTCACCTGTTGTTTTTGTTGATGTGGGGGCAGGTGTTCCCCACATTTCTCAGGCTCCAGTGCTGATGCTGCGTCCCCGTGCCTGGAACATGGTGGAGAACAACATGATGGTAAAATGAGACCTGCTCTACATACCTGCAGCTCTACATACCTGCAGCTCTACATACCTGCAGCTCTACACACCTGCAGTTCTATATACCTGCAGCTCAACACACCTGCAGCTCTACATACCTGCAGCTCTACATACCTGCAGCTCTACTTACCTGCAGCTCTACACACCTGCAGCTCTACATACCTGCAGCTCTAGATACCAGCAGCTCTACATACCTGCAGCTCTACATACCTGCAGCTCTACATACCTGCAGCTCTACACACCTGCAGTTCTATATACCTGCAGCTCAACACACCTGCAGCTCTACATACCTGCAGCTCTACATACCTGCAGCTCTACTTACCTGCAGCTCTATTTACCTCCAGCTCTACATACCTGTAGCTCTACATACCTGCAGCTCTACATACCTCCAGCTCTAGATACCTGCAGCTCTACATACCTGCAGCTCTACATACCTGCAGCTCTACATACCTGCAGCTCTACATGCCTGCAGCTCTACATACCTGCAGCTCTACATACCTGCAGCTCTACATACCTGCAGCTCTACATGCCTGCAGCTCTACATACCTGCAGCTCTACATACCTGCAGCTCTACATACCTGCAGCTCTACATACCTGCAGCTCTATATACCTGCAGCTCTATTTACCTGTAGCTCTACATGCCTGCAGCTTTATTTACCTCCAGCTCTACTTACCTGCAGCTCTATTTACCTGCATCTCTACATACCTGGCAGCTCTACATACCTGCAGCTCTACATACCTGCAGCTCTACTTATTCTAACATTTGTTGGTGTTTTCAGGTGGAGGGAAAGGAGGCTCCTGGTCCTCTGTTTGACTTTGGACTCCTCATGTTTCACTGTGGAAAGGTTCTGTTTGAACATCAGAGTGGACCTTTTTTCTATCTGTCAAAGGTAACTCACATTTAGGTTTCTGTCCAGGATGGGTTTAAATCTGATTAGGGAATTTGATTCCTGATAGAGACTTAGCGAAAACAACAAAACATTTTACATTTTAGGAGCAGCCAAATTTTTGTTTTCTTTCTTCCCCTTGTTGTAGCGCCCCCTAGAAGGTTGGTGGTCTTAGCACTCACCTGTTACCTAACAGCCCTGATGAAGATGATAAAAAGTTTGTCACAAACATTATTACTGAACTCAGTAACCAAAAACATTTGAATAATTTGCTCAATTTTGTTGAAAACAAATTTAAACTAAGATGAGCATAAGCTAAAATGAAAGACATTAAAGCTAAAGCTAGAATTAACACAGCAGTAGCTAAATGCTGAAATTAACTGAACAGTAGCATAAGAAGTTAAAAACAGAGCCGATTTTAAAGACAATAATGTTTCTGAAGGAACTCAAGACATCTTAATGTATTCTATGAAATGTTTGTTTAAATAAAGTTACATTTTTCACAATTAGCAGAAATCATAACTTCATTATTCCTGAACATTTTCATGTGCTGTATGTAAGGTTAAAATGGTACAAAGTCTGTGAAAGTGGTTTCTTTAAACAGGAAAATAGTCTGAATGCTGACTCAGCATTCACATATTAAAAGCCTCAAATTCATTAATGCAGGGATTCTCAACTGGAGGATCACAGACCCATTTTCAGAGGACCACAGGTATAAAAACCTTGGGAAGGAAAAAGCAAAGACTCTGATTATTCTGTCAGTTTATGGGTAAAGATTCAATGAGTGACTGTTTGATATGTTAAATAATCAGCTGAAGTCATGTATTTCTGAACAAAAGTATAAATGTAACACTTCTGTTTTTGCTCCCATTTTTCATGAGCTGAACTCAAAGATTTAAAACATTTTTCTTTATATATTAAATAACCATTTCTCTCAAATATTTATCGGTCATTATCTGAGATCTTAATAAATCAGCTCCTTTGTGTTTTTGTTTCACATCAAACTGAAGCAGGATGGAGAATCTGTATCTTACACAACAATATCTGAGTTTATTAACATGTCACAGCCTGAAACTACAAGAAGTAATCCGTGTTTTTTCTGCCTTTAAAAAGAAAAAAACAAAATGTACTGAAACGACGAGGCTGAGTTAAACTGTTGGTTTGCAGGTGGAGAGCTTCATGGAGGCCAGACTCTGGAACAAGATTTTCATCTGGACACAAGAAAAGGTTTCACTGCACAAATCTGTCTGCAGTTTGACAAACTCTTCACTTTAATGATCCGGGTTAGTTTCTAAGGAGCAGGGTGGACTGGGACCCAAATATCAGCCTGTGTATTTTAGACCAAACAGGTCCAGGGCAGACTTTTGTTATTTTTAATGTTTTTACCAACTGTACAACTCTTTAAAACCACATACCTCCTACACAAAAATAGCACAACACATTTGTCCTGGACCAAAAGTATAGCTTAGCCTTAGCCTTAGCTTTAGTTTTAGCCTTAGCCTTAGCTTTAGTTTTAGCCTTAGCCTTAGCCTTAAGGCCCCCACATAAGTCTTAGCCTTAGCTTTAGGCTTAGCCTTAGCCTTAAGGCTCCCACATAAGCTTTAGCCTTAGCCTTAGCCTTCAGGCTCCCACATAAGCTTTAGCCTTAGCTTTAAGGCCCCCCACATAAGCTTTAGCCTTAGCCTTAGCCTTAAGGCCCCCACATAAGCCTTAGCCTTAGCTTTAGGCTTAGCCTTAGCCTTCCGGCTCCCACATAAGCTTTAGCCTTAGCTTTAAGGACACCACATAAGCTTTAGCCTTAGCTTTAAGGACACCACATAAGCTTTAGCCTTAGCCTTAGCCTTAAGGCCCCTACATAAGCTTTAGCCTCAGCCTTAAGGCTCCCACATAAGCTTTAGCCTTAGCCTTAAGGCCCCCACATAAGCTTTAGCCTTAGCCTCAAGGCTTCCACATAAGCCTTAGCCTTAGCCTTAAGGCCTCCACATAAGCTTTAGCCTTAGCTTTAAGGCCGCCACATAAGCTTTAGCCTTAGCCTTCAGGCTCCCACATAAGCTTTAGCCTTAGCTTTAGGATTAGCCTTAGCCTTAAGGCCTCCACATAAGCTTTAGCCTTAGCTTTAAGGCCACCACATAAGCTTTAGCCTTAGCCGTAAGGCCCCCACATAAGCTTTAGCCTTAGCCTTAGCCTTAAGGCTCCCACATAAGCTTTAGCCTTAGCTTTAAGGTCTCCACATAAGCTTTAGCCTTAGCCTTAAGGCTCCCACATAAGCTTTAGCCTTAGCCTTAAGGCTCCCACATAAGCTTTAGCCTTAGCCTTAAGGCTCCCACATAAGCTTTAGCCTTAGCCTTAGCTTTAGCCTTAGCTATAGCCTTTGCTTTAGCCTTAGCCTAAGGCTCCCACATAAGCTTTAGCCTTAGCCTTAGCTTTAGCCTTAGCTATAGCCTTTGCTTTAGCCTTAGCCTAAGGCTCCCACATAAGCTTTAGCCTTAGCCTTAGCTTTAGCCTTAGCTATAGCCTTTGCTTTAGCCTTAGCCTAAGGCTCCCACATAAGCTTTAGCCTTAGCCTTAGCTTTAGCCTTAGCTATAGCCTTTGCTTTAGCCTTAGCCTAAGGCTCCCACATAAGCTTTAGCCTTAGCCTTAGCTTTAGCCTTAGCTATAGCCTTTGCTTTAGCCTTAGCCTAAGGCTTCCACATACTCGGGGACTGTGTGCGAACCATGAGCCACTTGGACTCTGTGCATATTGTCCACAGACGTTAGAGACATCACACTCGAGCGTACTGACCGCCTGACAAATTCTTTAATTTCTCGCAATTTCAGTCATGATGTCAAGGATCAGGAGGAAGAGACAGTTTGCATTTTAGCTTTAAAACAACAAAATTAAAAAGAAAAGAACTACCTTAGCTATTTCCTCCCACAAATWTGTTACTCCCTGAAAGTTCTTATATTCCTTCACTGATGTATCATAAAGTTTTCTAATCTGCTCCATGAGACGCTTTTCAAAATTTGACTGTGTTTTGTTCACAAATGACACAAATTCTCAACTTTATCTGCTTGGTGTTGCAAAAAAACAGTTTGACTTGAACTCTTTGGACAGTTTATTGTGCAACATCGCAGATGCAAAAAAAACTGATCTCTGCGTGGAYYAGTCCTGCTTCGAGTCCTCACTGAGTCTGCGCAGACCTCTGTGGAGTAAAGTATGCCCTTTCTCCTTAGCCTTATTCTAGCCTATAGCTTAGTCCCACTAACAATATGAACTTAGAACATTGCCTGCTGACTTACTGTTATCATAGTTAAATACTGGTTTTCTCAAATCATTTAAAACTATTTTTGTTTGAGGAAGAAAATAAAGTCTTAACCTGCACTTATTTTATCATTTAGTCAGTGTACACAATGTCTCATTGTTAGCAGCATAAATTTTCTGTTATGGATATTAGTTTTGGCGTGCCACCCCTKTTTTTCTGTGCCCACCCCCATGGCCCCCCTTGAAAAAAAAACTCTGCAGGCACCACTGGTGTTGAGAAAGTAACAGAGTAATAAACTACATAAATTAATTCAATGACATGAACACATTTATGTTTCATCACAGACGTGCAACCCTGATGAAACTAAAGAAAACCTGCTGACCTGCTGCCTTTAAGACGACATCACAACAGTCACATAATCTGTGAAAGTGATTATCTGTCCTGATACCTGCCTGGTTTCTCCCTGTAATAACAGTTCTCTGTCCCTGAGAGGAGCCTGCATCATGGTCCCTGCTGCTGGAGCTGCTCTAATGTCTCCTCACTCTGCTGTGGCAGGAAAGATTTATTTTAAATCTGTGGAAAGAAAGTGAGCACAACCTCTGCACAGAAACAAAAAAAGTTTGTCCGTGGTATTAGTCAGAGGTTTATAACGTATTTGAAAAAAATTAAGTAAAAGTAATAAAACTGTTCACAAAAATTGGGAAAGTAAAAGTTTTACACTCTGTAATAAAGAAACTGTTGAATTTACTGAACCAAACTGGTTCCACTAAACCAGGCTGAGTAAACTGAGTCAGTGTGAAGTCTCTCAGTTTATCAACTCTACTAGTCTCAGTGAAGCCAGCTGACATGGCTTTGTTGAGTAAATTCAACACTTTATTTTTTAAGAGCAGAAACATGATGAGTTCAAACAGATTTAATTTTGAACAAGATGGTGTTACATATTAAAGCAAAGAAGTTAAAGTATCATTTTTAGCTTTAAAATGTAACAAAATAAAAGTAGCTAAAACTAATTGGTAAAATGACAAATCCTCAAAAACTACTTAAGTACTGTAACAAAGGAAATGTACTAAGTTAGGGGAGACCGGGGACAGCAGCAACAAGGGACGGTTGCAACAGGTCATTTTTCTCCAAACAGAAAC